AGTGGGGGACAGTGTTAGGGAGAGGTGGGGAGAGTGTGGGGGACAGTGTCAGGACAGGAGGGGACAGGTAGGGACAGTGTGAAGGACAGTGTGAGGGACAGGTAGGAACAGTGTGGGGACAGTGTCAGAGAGAGGTGGGGAGAGTGGGGGACAGTGTCAGGGAAAGGTGGGGAGAGTTTTAGGGAAAGGTGGGGAGAGTGGGGGACAGTGTTAGGGAGAGGTGGGGACAGTGTTATGGAGAGGTGGGGAGAGTGTGGGGTACAGTATGGGGGAGAGTGTCGGGGACAGTGTCAGGGAAAGGTGGGGAGAGTGGCGGACAGTGTCAGGGAGAGGTGGGGAGAGTGTTGGAGACAGCAACAGGGACAGGTGGGAAAGTGTCGGTGACTGTTGGGGACAGGTGACAGCGTGGGGGACAGTGTCAGGGACAGTGTCGGGGACAGGAGGGGACAGCATGGGGGACAGTGTTGGGAACTGGTGGGTACAGCCTGGGGAACAACATCGGGGACAGGTGGGGACAGCATAGGGGAAGGTGCCAGGAATGGGAGACAGCATGTGGAACAGCATCAGGGACAGGCAGAGACCGTGTGGGGGACAGTGTTAGGGAGAGATGGGGAGATCTTGGGGTACAGTATCAGGGACAGGTGGGGAAAGCATGTGAGACAGTGTTGGGGACAAGTGGGAACAGCATCGGGGACAGGTGGGGACAGTGTGGGGCACAGTCTCTGGAATAGGGGATAGCATGTGGGACAGTGTTGGGGACAGCATCAGGGACAGGTGGAGACCATGTGGGGGACAGCGTGGGAGAGCATCAGGGATAGTGGGGGGACAGTGTCAGGAATAGGGGACAGCAGGTGGGACAGCAAGGGGACAGGTGGAGACAGCATGGGGGACATTGTCGAGAACAGGTAGGGGCAGCGTGGGGGACAGTGTCAGGGACAGTTTGTAAGAGAGTGGGGGACAGCATCAGGGACAGGTGGGGACAGCATGGGGGACAGTGTCAGGAATGGGGAACAGCATGGGGGATAGTCTCAGGGACATGTGGGGACAGCCTGGGGGACACTGTTGGACAGGTGGGGACAGCGTGGGGGACAGTGCCAGGGACAGTTTGTGAGACAGTGGGGGACAGCGTCAGGGACAG